CTACGATAGCCAAAAATCTTCAATGAATCTCTTCAAAAAGTTTTTTTTTCTCCTGCAAAAGGAAGGAAGGGATTCGCTGTGAAAGTAGGAGTTTGTGCGTGATGAAGAACAATTTTATCTCAAAAAAAAATTGTAAAAACGATGTGAGCAGAGGAAATGACGCTGCTTACCCAGGTCTCTAGTTCGGCTGAGCTTCCTAACAGTTGCTTTAAAGGATGACGATTGGTAATCCTGATTTCACGAAGCTCGATTATTTCATGGAGGAAGTGGCCAGCACCTATACTCCTATAAAAAACTCAGTAAGAGAAAAGCTCTCTAGGAAGATGGAGTTTCTGAAATGCCTCACCGAATCGCTCCAAATAAAATGGTGGATCATCTGCTTCAGCTGTACATAGTCTTCCATATGCCATGGACACGGAACAGCATCAGGAGACACTTCGGCAGCTGTAGCAGGCTGAAAGGAATGAGCCAGCGCTATACGCAAAGCCATGTGTTCTGCTACTCCGTCTAAAAAACTTGCCTCTACGATTTTCTCAAGTCGCCGCATTTACGTGCGTCCGAGAATGAGCGGCGATGTACGTAACGATTTGAACGACTTTAGCGCCTATTATTGAGGCCCAAATTTGAAGGAAAGTAGATTAGAAGAATCATCTGACCCTACTAAACTACTCTACTTCGACTTTGTGCCCCGAACGTTGGCGTCAGAGTCGTACAAAACGTCACGAACCTCGCCGCGCAGTTTGCCGCGCGCGTCCTCGACGCACGTAGTGCAGTCCCCCCCCCCCNCCCCCCCCCCCCCCCCCTCCCTATTCACCGTCCCTATATCTGCCTCCAAAGTGACGGGCCGTTGTGCGAACGCTGCATATGGAGGTCAAGAATTTTCAGGGAAAATATCTCGTTCTGAAGGTACTGATAAGGTTACTACTGCAGTTCCAGTCCTCCCATATATTAGCCTTCCCAAACCGCTAGGCAAAACGAAATTTCTTTTCAATTCCCTGGCTATTCATCGAAAAATTTGTTAGACACGGCTTTAACGCGTTTGTTTCCTATTCCATGGGGGACGTATATCGAAACTTCCAAATAGGTGAATCTGAATACTATTCTTCTCACGAAGAATTCTATTCCAAACATGGTGCCACACCCTTTGGCACTGCAGTTCTGGATGTGCATAATATGTTTGGAAATTATTTATTCCTTCCGATCTCACTCGAATCGAACGCGGTCCAAGTTATCGCTGAAGGAGAATGATCATCTGCTTTACAATGTTACTAACGACATACTGGTACGTCCCTTACACACTACGGATATCAATGCTCACCATATTAATACTCATTTTTACGATAAATATCAGATTTTGAACGTACTAAGCCAATGGTAAATTAGTGAACTAGTTGTGATAAAAGCAAAAAATTTCCAGCAATATTCTTTCAAAGGTTTTTCAACGAAATTAATGAACGCTGCTTGTCCGTGACGCTTCGTGGCGCTACCTATCCATGCCCTAGTTTGGCTGAGCTTTCCAACCCGCCTTGGAGAATGACCGTCGATGTTCTTAATTTCAGCCAGCCTTCATTATTTTATGAAGTAAATGTTTATCCAGTGCCTCTGACAAGACCTAGGAGTGCGGTTCGTTCCGCGCGTCTGTCGAAACTAGGTCACGCCGCAGCTGTCGCACGCGGCGTGTCAGCGTTCTTTGACAAACGTCGCACTTGTCAGCGAATTGTCAAAGACTTGCGCTCAGTCCACGGCAGTCAGCTTGAAGTGAAGATGACACGGACTTATGCAATTCATTCCTCCACTTAGTAATACTGTAATGTCATCTCGAGATCGCAGTGGGCTGCATCGAGCGAAGTTGGCGAGATGACTTACAAATAGTTCCGACGGATGCGCGGAACGGACGTTTTCACAAGACTTAGAAGGAGGGAAAGTTTCTTTGAGAAGTTTCGGGAATGCCTTAAAAGCCATGCGATTGATGTGGTGGATCTACCGATCAGAAACGCCAGCATACCCTATTTGCCATGTACCGTGCATTAACTCGTCATGTATGTGGTCTGCGGCTGCGGGCGAATCGACGCGATAACAACGCTGCCTCCAAAGTTTCTCATTAACCTTTGATTTTTATGCTTCACATCTATTCATACCTCATCTCCTTCTGAAAACTTTGAGAAACGGCTCTATCGAAGATATCGACAATAGTCATTTCGGAAGGGGCAATGAGAATGTAAAGAAATGAGCCAGCGATGTATAGCGATGTAGGAAAAGCCATGTGTTCTGCTGTCGCGGGTGGAAATATTCTCTGAGGAACTTTCTATGATCTCTGTATTTACCGTTCCTATATATTCTCGAACCTTCGGATAAGGCGCCCATGGTCTACGTAGGGCCGTTCGCTGTATCGAGTCCGTGACAAACCTTGTTCACCGCACCTGTGGTGCGGGAACCACTATAGAGATGAATTTTATCAGGGCAATATCTCATTCTGAAAGTACTGATAAGGTGCATTCATAGATATAAATACCCGTTGGGGTGGTCGCAGTCATTCGATGCAGCAACCGGGATGAGATGGCCGAAGATGGATCAAAGAAGAAGGCCCCGAAGCCACCCAGGAATCGCAGAGATGTGAATCTTGAAATTCAAGCAAGGCTGTCCGGCATGAATAAAAATCTGCTCGCTGATGGCAAAGCGAAGCCTAGAAAAATCAGTAGTGCATGTAAGTAATGTAATGGTTGAAGTGTGAAGTGGACTGGTTTGCCCATAGGTTCTTTACTGATTCGTTTTAGCGAAAAGTACAAAGCGTCCGACGTCGGGATCATTGGAAAAGGTGGTGGAGAGGAAACGTGCATCCACATCTGCTAAGAAGATGACACCTCCTAAGGGACAATTTTGTAGGATTGAGAGCTCTTGAACTTTAAATAATTCAACGCTTCACAGCATATCATTAAGATGCGTTTATACTCGGCGAAAGCGCGACAGCGTCGAACAGATGGCACGCCTGGGTCGCTAACTAAGTGAGGTTGTCGACGAGAATCCGAGACGGCAAAAGGGAGTCTCACTTCGGGCGCAATTCTGCGACGGCAATTGTGTCGAAAACGACGCTCGGCGCCAGTCGCTTCATAATTGCTTAGTATGAACGCAGTTTTGTCGCATATGCGTCACGGTACATATCGATTACGAGCGCATAATATGACTCATCACAAACTTAACGATGAGATAATGTGAAGCGTCGAAGCACCACTGTTTCTATGGCGAAGTAGCGAGCTTCTGATTCAGCTGGAAGGCTGGAACCGACCCAAAGGAGTTCGATAATGAAAACACCTGAACCAAAGGGACCCGGTAAAAGTTTACCAGAAGAAAGCAAGGCAACAACAGGTGGTGTGAAGATTGAAGATGACAAAACACAGCTCGTGAACGGAGGCTCTGATGTAAGAATTAAGCGTTTACGCTAGATCATAGCTAGAATTTACATCTTCTCAACCGCTCCTGGAAGATGATGAGTGAGAAATGATTGGGACATACCTGACCATGGTTTGGCTACTCGTGCTAGGACCCTTCGTCTTTTACAAGTGAATTCAGTTCACAAATGTGGTCCCGAGACAGCTACGATTGGCATGGTCTGGAGGGTGAATCGCGTGGGCGAGTCGTGCGCCTCAGAAACCGCGTCGAATGGGCGGCGCGATGAGAGGGGTCTTTCCAAACGACCGCTTCCTTATTACCTGAGCAGATAGGCATGCTGTACCAAGAAAGCATCGCCACCCATGTAACGTTTTGGATAGTAAAGACACGGCTCGCCGAAATCTTTAACGACTGAGGTGACCCTGACACTCAGATGGGTGGCCCTTAGAATCGAAAAAGGTCTAGCAGCTCATCTCTGTAGAGGTTTTTGGCGGTTTGTTCGAAGACCTGCAATGGTAAATGCCCTCCTTGTCGATGCCCAGGCCTCTTGGACTCAGGGATACAGCTCACAGGGATTCAGTTCCATCTATCTCTCCTATTTCTTCGGGCGGTTGTCATGATAACATCGTAATCATTACTTTCTACAGCTGTCGTCTACTTTATCGAACCGGCAAACGGATGTACCAGATGCAAAAGCTAACAAAATGGAGTTGGCTACAAAGAAAGTCGAAAAGAAAGCTCGTACTCCCAAACACTACACCGACAGACAACTTAAAATTAAGGTTGCCAAGTTGCACAAGTGAGTTGTATAACTTCTTCATAAAGATTCCAAGGGGAATGCAATGAAATGAAAAAGGATAGTAATATGATGTCAACTGCCAAAACGAACAACAGAGGCACTAGCGGGTTCTTTTTTGACGGAGCTGTAACCCACAAGTATGCCATAAAGGCCCTGTCGGGTCGAAAAAAGGCCCATTCAGGGTGTAATAAGGACTCAAAAACCGGCTTCTTGATGTACACGCCCAAAAGGTGACGAGCTTCAGCGGTGTTGTGGAGGTTGCACGATTCATAAGAGGCGCTCATGTTGGAAATTCGAATAGCTAGAAGTGACCTATGGCAACATGGAAGAAGGCATTTAGGGCAAATTTGGCTTACTGTAGCCGGCTTTTTACGCAATCGCAATGAACTCAGCTCGAACTTGTATAACGTATAGTATAGCGACCTCAACAAAGAGCCAACCCCTTGAAAGAAGTTTTTGCTAAGGTGGAACTTTATTCTTGCTCATTTCGCGATTATTACCAGTACGGCTTCAGGAAGACCCAGATGTTGCGTGTGGAGGATCCAGCTGTTGACAAACTGATAAACGAGGCGAAGGAATCTCTGGCTGCTATCGAGGTTTACTTAGAGCATTTTAACAAGTTGGAGAAAAAGTGGTTATGAAACTAGAGGGATCGAATTTGGAAGGGAGGCACAAGTGATCAAGTGGGAAGTTCAGAGTGGATCAGAAGCTTACCGAATTATAGCAACTGATAATGATCGCTAAAAGGCTTTAAAAGGCGAAAGCAACCTAATTTGTTACTACTCCCCGTAAATGTGTTCATTTCAACAATTCCCTAGCATCCATAGGATCGATATCCGTTATGTGGAGTCTGGAGTATGGGGAGCGGGGCGGGGAAGGAGTGGGGGATTCGCCATGCATTTGAAATCCTAAAATCGACGAAGCGATCGTCAAGGCATGTCCCAATCCATGAATTACTTCCAGCATCCTCTAGCAGGAGGGTAAATGAGCAGACTACATATAAATCCTATACAGCCTTCGTCATTTGAAAAAAAAACCTTGGGATAAGCCTGGGAAAGTGCCCAGGGAAAGTGCATATCCTCAGAACAGGACCATATTTAGAATGATCACTGTTCAAGGAATACATCCCCAGTGAACTACACGATCTTGTGGTTAATAGATTATCATAAAATTCCAAATGTAATGCTTGTGCCGTCATCGCTATGGTTAAACAAAGGTATTCTCCAGCTATTGAACAAGCACTATACGGAAGTACAGCAAGAATCAAAAACACGGACGCAGCAGCTTTTGGATGATTTCGAGAAGTTGAAAACAAAACGAGCGCAGGTTAGATGAATTACTATTTGAGGAAAAGGCGGACGAGGTGACATGGTCACAGGTTTGGATCTCGGCCATGCCCAGGCCTATCTGCCCAGGCCAACCAAGCCTTCCATCCTTCCGAGGTCGGCTATTTGGTACCAGACTCGTCTGGGAGGATAAAAGCACTGATTTGTACTTCGGCTGGCCACCACAAGTCATTGTATAGGTCACACACGCATACAATATGCCATTGAGATTCTGAATGGAAGTCGAATGCGTGGGCGCATCCCTCTGGCGGGATTGATCAACACCCCTAAACCTTATCCTCTATGAATTAAGAACTTCTCAGAGAACCGTGGAAGAACTTACATTTGAATCTGACATCATCACGTTCATAGTCGACGAAAAAATCAATAAAGCTCATTTGAATACACAAAGTCGACTACCAATATTTTAGACGATTTATAGGTAGTTATACTTTGATTTGACTGCTATCGACTCAGTTCATACTCTTTCAGCGTTCACGAGAATTGGATGCACGGATTGCACAGCAGGTTCGTGCTGAAATCGATATTCGAAGGGAGCTCGAGGAAATGCTAAAAGATTCAAATTTCAGAAGTTTGGTTAGTCTTTACTCACTATTAGCTTGATAGGATTTAAGCACTAAGCACGAAACCGAACCTATCGTCACACTCATTTGTTGGGTATAGCTGTTGGGTCTTCCCTGTACCACCTGTCACCGGTGAATTAGTCTGTCCGCTTGTGATGATACTCGGATGGGTACGGTCTATCGCGTTGGTACCGTACCTGTCTAGGCGTTTGTTTGACGCCTCTAGGGGTCCATCAATATTGCACAATGCCTCCTGCTGAGGTGATCTTCGATTCCTTGGCATCAGCAAGCAACAACGTTCCTAAACTCGTTCTTTTACGGATCATAGGGTCCCCCGTTGCTCTAGCGTCTCGGAAGATTCCGGGCATCGTTCTTCTCCCAGCTGATGGTATAACGCTGACTGCAGAGGAAACAGGAAGCTTCGACCACCTACTGAAGCCAGACGGGTTACGATCCCAAACGTTTTGAATGGCAAACCTCTAATAATTTCTTTATGTTTGCTGCTGAATATTCAACCGCTTCCTCTTCCAGCCTAAGGGTCATTCAAGGAGAGATCACAGAAAAGCGCCTGATGAACAGCAATCGTATTTTGGTTCGATATGGAGAAGCATATTTGGCTCTTAGATCCAAACCTCAGCTCGAACGTATTACATATGTAATTTTCCCGATGATATTACAGAAATTTCACTGAAGATATTACAGCTAATTGGTCATTGTTAAAACATGATGTGATATAGTGTGTTGTGTAATAAAGGTAAATATAAACACTTGAAGCAAAGTCTACGCGTCGGATGCGCTTCGTTGCGCGTGTCCGTCGAAACTAGGTCACGCCGCAGCCGTCGCACGCGGCGAGTCGGTCCGCGATATTTGACAGACGTCGCAATTGTCAGTGGGGCATACGCTTTGCGTTTGGTCCACGGCAGTCAGTTCAGAAGAAGATAACACAGAGAAATGCAAATCATTTACTCCAATGACACTTGGTGGTACTGTAATGTCATCTCGAGACCTCAGTGTGATGCGCCGCGCGCGAAGTGGGCGGGGTGACCTACTTTCGACGGACACGCGCAACGGACGTTCTCCCTACGCGTCAATCAATCCCATTTTGTGGTAGGCCTTGCTTTCGACTTCAATTCAGAATCCTGGGGGCGTTTTAAAAGCGTATGTTGCCCAAACAATGGCTTCGGGTTGCCAGCCGATGTACAACTCCGTGCTTTCGTCTTTCTAAACGAGTCTGGTATCAACAAATCCCGTAGAGATGGAAGGGCGTGGTCAGCTCAGGTGATTATCGATCTGGGACTCGATCCCAATACCATACTTTTAGGATAGTGCGCCCCTTGCCACTACAACTACTCTGTTCCTGTCAATATAGAAATTCATCAAGTAACCTTCAACTTCTCTCTTGGTGTCACCTCGACATGGTACTCTACAAGGGATCATGTCTTTGTGCTATCATCAATTCTTGTGCTTTGATAGTTTTTCAATGAGACCATTTATTAATTTTGACGGGACTGCGCCTAGATGGACCGTCTCTTTAACAGGCCAGAGGTCCAGATTTGGCAAGAGAGTTGGATGGTAACTTCCCCTGCTCCTGTTACACCTCATGACTTTTAGGGGATCACTTTTTTCGATATCCACCACACAACGAAAATTTGTTTCCTTGGGTCGCCACTACAAGTTGTTCAGGTCAGATTTCTTCCAGCCCACTCCTACTGACTGCCAAAAATCATTTCTTACCAGGATCGTTCTGCTAACAATTACTTGATTTCATTTTTTCGTTGAATTCCATATTCATATTTGTGAAGCTGGATAGGCTGACATGGTTAGTACTGAGGAAACTCGTCCATTCATCATAAGGGTAGGATATCATTCTTATTTGGAAGAGCGAACGATATTCTAACACGGGATCTAGTGGTAAGCTACAACTGTCTGCTGTGAAAACAAAATCTCCTACGGTCACGAATTGGTGGAAAAGTGCCAAAAATTTATTATCGCACAAATTTATTAATCATTCCCTAGCCAAACGGAAGAGAACCGTTTGCGTAGGCCATTATGGCCCACAGATATTCCGGCTGCAACTTCATCACACCTTATAGGAAAGTTCGACAACCATCGAGGAACGATCCTCCTCCTCCTCCTGCTTATTATCATTACGATCATTATCGGTTTTGAGATGTTGAAGAATATCTCCAGTCATTTGATTCTTCTCCAGCACGACTTCTTCTGTTAACCGTTGCATTTCCTCTTTTCTTTTTTCATCTTCCTTTCGCTTCAGTCTTGACATGATTGCAGCAATCAGAGCTGCACCTTTACCACTGCCATCGTCGGTTTGCACTAACTTAAACTGAAAAAGTCATTAATCATGCATATAACCCACAAGAACTTTTGAGTGTCCCGAGTGTCCTGAAAATGCCCCTGAGCAGACGGTTTGACTCTGAAAGTCTCATAAAATCAGGGTTCAATGAAGCGGGGTGCAGCTACCGAACAGTCGGTTTACAGGCGGTCGGCTTGTCAGCAAAGTATAGCACAAGCCAGTCACAGCAGGAGGCTACGGTATAGAAAGTGTCAGAGCTACGTGAACGAATTTTTCCCGACTGAGGGATCCTTCGGAAAATGCCTTAAACTGAAAAACGGGTGCGCTTCGTTGCGCGCGTCCGTCAACTCTAGGTCACGCAGCAGCCGTCGCATGCGATGCGTCAGCCCGCGATCTTTGACAAACGTCGCAGTTGTCTNACCTCAGTTGGGGTGCGCCGTGCGCGGAGTGGGCGGGATGACCTACTTTCGACGGACGCGCGCAACGGACGTTCTCCCAAAAAAAAGCAGCTGCGCTGAAGAAAGGGTACTGTCATTGTCAAGCTCTCTCGGAGACATAAAAAAGCGAAAGAGCACAAATGATACGTAGAGGGGTTTCAAGTGAGCGCCAACAAACCAAGGCATAGAGGCTCCAACGTTCAGTACACTGAATTCCCTTCCAACCTAATTTCGAAGAACTTCCATTGTTAGGCCGCAATTTAATCCTATCTCTGGAAAATAAGTGACGGATACCAGATTTGGCCCCATAAGGACGTAAAGCGAGAAGCAGTAGTTACTGTAGTCCCCGTAATCGGCCATATGTGAAGCACAGTTTTTATTAATCCATTAATCCCTTACATTCTACCCATGCTCCACCCCTATTCTGAGCAAACCAGGCTGCTGGGCTGCCGACGAATTCGTACGATCTTCTTTGATGCTAAACTCTTAATGTACTACACATGGGTCCCCCGAACTTCCTTTTAACCTTTCATGTTTCAGGTGGAGAAAGAGCAAAAGTAAATGGAACCTTCAGTCCTGGGTCAAGTAGTTCTTTCACTTTTTCGCTGATCCAGTGTTCGAAGAACGGATGACACTTGTAGGTACTGCCATCGATGGCCACAATCATCTTTGGTTGACCGATTCGATTCAGCACACAAGCAATAGCTGAAAAAGAAACGCACAGTCTGTTTCGAATGAGCGTCCTTGTTATCATTGTCGATACTGAGTCGCCATGCGGCAAGGGTTTAAAGTGTTCATTTACTTACGAATTTAAGTATT